ATTGATGCCTTTGAGCTGTGGTGCTGGAGAAGAGTATTGAATGTACCATGGACTGCCAAGAAAACAAACAGATTCATCCTCGAGAGGGTTAAACCAGGCTACTCCTTGGGGGCAAGGATTCTGGGGCTTCATCTGACATACTTTGGACATGTTGTAAGGAGAGACAGGTCCTTGGAGAGGGGCATCATGCTTGGAGGGTGGAGGGACAGCGCAGGAGGGGAAGACCCTCTATGAGGTGGACTGAGTCAGGGACTGGGGTACTCGGGATGGGTGTGTCAGAGGCAGTACGATTGGCACAAGATAGAGCAGGGTTTAGGGCTGTTGTACATAGGGTTGCTATGAGTCGCAAGCGTCTTGACGACACATAACAACAACAACAATCTAAGTAGGTCAGTTACCAGTGAGTACTGATTCAATGGCAATGAGTATGAGTTACTAGGTTACGTACACTTTTTCTTCAGGATTGTTTTCCTAATGGGATCTTTTACTATACCCGTCTTTTGCACTAGTTAACTGATATAAACTACATGTTTATTACTGTCTATTTTTTTTTTTTTTTAGTTCTTTTACTTGCAACCTCTTTGTCTTTTTCTTTAAAGTACACTTTTGGTACATAGTATATAATTAAGCTTTTTTTATTCAGCCTGTAAAACTTAAACTTTTAATTGTTGGGTCTAATTGAACATAACTACAATTATGTATAAAAGCAATTATTGCTCTGCTGACGCTTAACAGTTTGTAATTTTCCCATATGTTTTTTTTCCCTTCTGTTCCTACCTTTCTGCTATCTTCTTGGTTAATCAAATAATGCTATGTACTGATGATTATTAATTCTTCTATCATTCTTAAGTGGATGAGTACTGATTTTAATATGAATCTTCTACTGCAATATACCTTTAATGAACCATTTAAAAATAAAAAAGAACTTTGCATTAGTGTAATTCCGTTTACCTTCTAGCTTTTGTGCTACCACTGTGATATATTTTACAAATGTTATAGGGAATTGAGATCCACAGATGGCTATTTAGAACTTGTAAATGACTGAAGTTAGAAGCTGTTGGGGGAAAAAGATCAGATTCTACAGAGATAAAGAAGAATGAAGTAGATACAATGAGAAATACAAGATAAAAAAGGAAATTAAGTTTCTTTCTTAGTCCCTCCCTGGAATTTGGCTTTCTTCCTTTCCTTTGCTCAAGTCAGCTCAAATAGATTTCTGCTATTTGTAATCAAAGTAATTTTATTACCACTCCCTTTCCTTACATGGATTTCTGAAGTTGTGATAATTTTACAACTGTTTGCTAGGTGTTGTCGAGCAGATTATGACTCACAGTGACTCTGTGAACAACTGACCGGAACACTGTCCTATCCTGTGCCATCCTCATCATCTTGACAAACCTGGGCCCACTGCTGCAGTGATTGTGTCAATCCACCTGGTTGAGTGTCTTCCTCTCTTCTGCTGCCCCTCTACCTTTCCAAACATGCTGTCCCTCTCCAAGAACAACCTCTCCTAGCAACATGCCCAAAGTATGTGAGAGGAAGCTTCACCATCCTTGCCTCTAAAAAGCACTTTAGCTGTACCTTCTTATTATTTGTTATTATTTCTTCTTACTTATTTGTTCTTCTGACAGCCCATGGCTCTGAAGTCTTGTGACAACTCTAATCATAGTATGTGCATATATGGAGACACTCTTATCTTTTATTAAGGATAACAGTATTATCTAAAACCCATCTCTCCATGGACTCAGTGCACCCAGAGTGCTCCTTGGAGGCAAAGATGATAAAGCTTCGTCTCATTTATTTTGGGCACATTGCCAGGAGAGGCTATTCTGCTCTGTGGAGAGGGACATGAAGCTTGGACAGGTGGAGGGTTGGTGAAAGAGAGCAAGATGCTCAAGTAGATGGACTGACACAGTGACCCTACAATGGGCTCTAGTGAGTCCGGAAATGTGAGGATGGCACAAGAGTCAGATCTGTTGTTCACAGGGTTGTCATGGGTCATGACTCAACTCGATAGCTCCTAACAACAATAATATGGACCAAAAGAAATAAGGAACCACTATACTCTGGTGATATGTGTGGTTGTCTGCACTGCCTCTGAGTCCATCCCAACTCACAGTGACCTTTCATAGGGTTTCCAGGGGTGTATATTTTAATAGGAGGAGACGGCCCATCTTTGTCCTAAGGAGCTGCTACTGGAATCAAACGAATGGAGACACGCTGCCTTTTAGTTAGTAGCACAACATGCTGTGGACTATGCCACCAGAGCTACTCATCCTGAATAGTAAGTTGTATACATTAACTGTGAATCAATGCATCAATATTTCCTCTATTGTTGTTGTTATGTGCCGTTGAGTCGTTTGCAAGTCATAGCGACTCTATGTACAACAGCCCTAAACCCTGCTCTATTCTGTGCCACTTGCACTGCCTCTGACACACCCATCCCGATTAGCCCAGTCACTGAATCAATCCACCTCGTAGAGGGTCTTCCCCTCTTGCACCGATAATTTCTGAAGGGATTTCCTCTATACAGTATCAAAAGATACACTGTCAACTCTGTAACAAACAAAAAACTCAACAGCTGATCTTCCAACTAGTTTTAAGAGGGTACACACAGCACAGGAGATCTTTCTCTCATGGAACAGTTGGTGGATTTGAACCAGTTACCTCTGGGTTTGCAGTACGTCAACAGAGATGCCTATGAGGAGCTGCGGTGACAAAGTACTAAGAAGCTGTGCTACATTCCCAAAGGCATGTGGTTTGAATCTACCAACTGCTCTATGGGAGGAAGATGGGCAATCTCCTCTTGTGTGATTTACTTCCTCTGAAAACCCATTGGACTGTCAGCTATGGGTTGTTTTTGACTCTATGGTCATGTCAATAAACAACATTATCAATAGCAACATTTAATTCATTACAATTAATTTAAAACCAATCAACAAATGAAGAAACAGAGCAATAATATTATTGTAGTAAGGAAAATCTTGTTCCAAAAACTTACCTAGAAACAGAACAATCAATAGTATTATTATAGTAAGGAAAGCCTTGTTCCAAAAACTTGCAATTTTACCCCACACATGAAATGAAAAAATCTTGTGCCATCTGTAAAGTAATACAGTTAAAACAGGTATTAAAAAAAAGAAATTAGAAATATTTTCTAAATGTTGAATTAACATTTTATTAATTGTGTAGTCCATAAAAAGGATTGTTGTTGTTGTTGTTATGTACCATCGGGTTGCCTGTGACTTTAATTTTAAAAGTCCTACAAGAGACTAACTCATAAAATGAAGAACAAGTCTTTCAAATTAACAAAAAGTGATTCTTCATAATCTGGTAGCTTAAATATTCTAAGGTAAAAAGCAATTTTTAAATATATATGTTTGCAAGTGTAAAAAATTTTTTATTAAGATATTATGCTCATAGAAACTATTATTGTATCTCTTTTCCCTAGTCAGTAAAACAACAATTATTGGTCTAATGGCTAGCAACTTTTCAGGGGTGGGAGGCCAATTTTCTGATCTATGTATTTTTATATGGTTCACTTTTAACATTTATTGCAAATAAAAATACAGCCTAATGAACTTTTACATATGTTTTACCTATCAACTATGAATAAGATCAGGATATGAATACAGAGGAAATGGTCTAGATGGAGAGAACAGTATAAACAAAATGTGATTCTAAGAAAATATGGCAGAGAGAGTAAGAAACACATCACAGAATTTGAAAAATATGGGATATTTTAAATGAGTAGCATATTTAGTAGTGTAAAGAAATCATATAAGGTAGCAAGCATTAAAACACATTTACAAAGTCCCCCCAAATTTTTTTTACTTATATTTTTAATAAGTATGTTCTGAAATCAACTTGGGAGTAGTAACTTGATGTTGGTGGGGAGAAGGAGGTTCATACAAATGAAACTATTCCTTTTATATCTATACTTTGTATTCTGTTTATTTTATTTAAGAAGCTATTAAAATTCTACATTACAGAAGTTTTACCTTTAAAAAGAAATGTAATTATAATGTCATGATCAAGGTATAAGTGAAAATATTTTTCCAAGAGGCAATATAAAAGGGAACTCAGAAGCTGCTTGCTAGAAGAATAGCCAACAGTTTATAAGATCCATTCCAATGCAGTGAAGGGATAACAGCTATTACGATATTTGAATCCTTACTATTTTTTATTATTGTTCTAATTCCTTGTACAAGCTTTAGTGAATTTAAGCCTCAAAACTACCATAGAAGATAGATACTGGCATTATTTCCATTTTATGGTTAGGGACATCAGAGCTGGGATTTAATAAACCCAGGCAGTCTGACTCCTTAAATTATGCCTTTAACTCCTGAGTTGCATGAGAAAATAAAACAAATCAAATGAATACTGAGATCCTTTCTTTGGAAAGAACTGTGATAGTAACCATATAAACAAAAACAAAAAAGTGGGGACACCTAAAAAAGGCCATACTCTAAATATGATGTGCACATATTTCCCTATTTTGTACACAAGGGTACATGATGTGTACACATACACAGCCATCTATCAAATAGTAACTTGGCCAGGACAGGTCAAGTATCATATTTCATGGGAAGAAAAAGTCCGACCCTTAATTTTGGAACTCTTTGTGATAGAGAAAGGCCCAACCAACCAGTTTTGTAAACTCTTAAGTTGATTTATGTATCAATTATAGCTTTTATCTCTTGAATACATCTATTAGAAGTATGAACAAAAAGAAAAAATCGTGAACGTGTTTTTTGAGGATTTGAAACAAAGTTATTAAGAGATGGTAGGAGTCCTAGACGCCCATTTTCATTCTGTCACTGACCAGTTAAATGAGTTCATGTAGGGCAGGGACGTGATCTATAAAATGGGTGAGATCAAATAATCTCTAAAGACTTTAGAGTATAATTCACTTACTCTTTTGAGGAGGGGGAAGATAGACACAGGATAGAGAGAGAAATGAGCAGAAATTTAAGTAGCTTAAGGAGCAAGTGTGTTAAAGACTTGTGAAAGACTATCTGGAACTTGGGCCAAGGTAAAACTTTCCTACCTTTCGTCCATTTCCTTTGTCCTGGGACAAAGTGGTTACACAACCTCATTTATGAGATAATCTTGCTATGAAGTTGTACACGTTATATACATTATATAGCAACAATTTTGTTGCCTGTGTATTTCACTATTCACCCTATCAAGTTTCTGGATCTAAAATGGAACTGTTAAATAAGTGGATTACTACAAGGATAAAGTGAACCAATGCTTGGGTGGAAATATTTAGCAACCAAGAAGAACTAATGTTAATTCAAGGTTCTGATAGTTTTCATAGTCAGTGCTTTGCATTCATGAATTCTGTGTAAAAGTAAAATGATCATTAGGCATTTATCAAACTACTTCTTAGACGAAGTCCAGACCTTGAGCCATTCGTTGAGTTTTTACACTGGCCCCTCGCTAAGCCCACGGCCACATTTTTTACAACCACACTGCACTATAAACATAATTTATCTGTTTATACTTAGTTCTCTAGACAAGTGTTAAAAGTTAAACCTTTGTTATCTCTGTAAAACAGAGCTGAAGGTTTCCTACCTCTGAGGAGGAATAAAGGGGAGACAGAAGATTAAAATGAGTCCTATTTCAGCATAAAGGAAGGTTGCAACTGCCACCCATTGAAGTGTCATTTTTCCCCCTCTTCACACCTAAATAAAGAAAAAGGCTTTAAGTTGGACACCTTTCAAAGAACCCGGAGTTAAAGGCTGGGGGCGGCGAGGGGACGCGGTCAGTGTTGGTTTTTATTCTTTTCCCGGGAGGGTGGGTGTCTGACCAGTCCTCCCCCCCAGGCTGGAAGCTCCAGGCAAGGGTCGAGGTTCAGGGTGGCCCTGAGCCCCGTTTCCACCTCTCCCGCTCGCAGCGCCCAACTTGCGCGGCCGCTCGGGGATGAGGGACTTCCTGCTCGGCCAGCCCGGCGGCGACCGCAGCCTAACGCCTGTTCCTCTAACGCCCGTCGCCGCGGCCCCGCTGGCCCCGGGACGCGGGAGGGCCCTGCTGCCCCCGGGGAGGGCCCGCGGCCGCGGCGTCCGGGCTTCAACGGCAGAGGAGGCGGCGGCTATCCCGCTCGCCGAAGGGAGGTGGCGGGCTC